ATGTAGGTAGTCCTTAGACCATAACTGTACTACTACCTTGAGTAGTACAGTTATGGAATGTTCCATGAAGTGGTTCTCAGTCCTTTGGTCAGTACAGTATAAACACTTGGGTATTTTTTGTTTTTGTTTTTCTGAAGAAATATGCCTAAGCTTCATCTCAGACCCATTAAACTAGGTCTCTGACATTAGTGTTCTGAGCATCATCATCATGAACATCATCATTATTTTTGTAAAAAATATCCTAGGTCATTATGTATAAACAGCATGTAGAGCTACTGCTTTAGTGATTTTGAGGAGAGTCACTAACCTAAGAAGCTCCATTTTATATTTTTATTTACTTTATCTTCCATCATTTTAAGTACCTATAGGGATGATGAAGCATAGTTGGTCAGAACTCTTAAACTGGGAGGCAGTTATTTTGTTTGTTTGAAGTTGTCTTTTCACTTGATTGGACTAAAACATTTGATTCATTGAACCCTTTCTTCAGGTATCCTGTTCTCTGTTGCTTTTGTTTTTGAGATCTTTGGGTTCTCCCTAATTTTCCAACAGTTTCCTGAAAGTATTGTAACTCAAACTCAGTAAAAAACTGCTTTCACATACTAAACAATGACAGTGTCAGGAGAATAAAGTTCCTTCTACTTACCAAATTCTGATTTTTTTCATTATGTAAGGGAGAAACTTATTTGTTTCAGACTTTTTCTTGACCTTTTCTTTGTTTTTGGAGGCTAACATGTGTTTGCTACCATGGTATTTTTTTCAATATATTACTTTCATAGTTTGTGTCTGTCTTCCTTCTTTCTCAGCTGTGTTTCTTGCATACATTTCCCATCTTGCACCCATATTTTAGGGGAGAAGAAGTAAATTTTTTTTTCTCATGGATGATCATGTTTCAGAGAAATAGTTTTCCAAAGTGCAAGATCATGGTGAATTTTATTCCATCCATCCATGATGTATATCAGTTAGACTCTGGACAGGGAAATAATCCATACTAGACATACCAAGAAAATTTAATATGGGCAGTGGGGTTATATAGGTTTTGGAGAGCTTAAAAAGCAAAAGGGGAGCACTGGAATAACAGACAATAATTGCAGAAAGCAGCAACCACCCATAGGGCTGGGGGAACAAAGAAAAATTTAGAGTAGATTTGGGGCTCAAAACCTTTGGAGAAGTACTGCTTGGATGTTGCTGATACTTCTGAGGAGTACTTCTGAAAGTGCCGTAAAACACTGGTGGCTGTTACCACTGTTGTTACTGGGACTGAGGGCATATGTTAGGGCTCTGCTTGGTGGAAAATGCGAGTTTCTCCTTCTAATGCCCTTATTGGCAGTATGAGAAAGCTAGCTAGCTGGCAAAAAAGAAAAATTATTTCCAGACTGCTATTTTTAGCATTACTGAATATTGCTAAAATATTTAATGAGTATTATAGGGTGAATTTGGAGCTGAGAGACAGTAACTGAATAACCAGCATTTAACAGCATTCTCCTCTCTGCTTACACAAAGGCATGGGCTTCGGGTTTTTTGGTCTCTTTTTTAGCCACTGGGATCCCACATGCTCTTAGTGTCTGCATTTGGAATGAGAGGAATTATTATTATTTTAAAATTAACTAGTTTAGTTAATGTGATTTGGGGGCATGAGACCTTTGCTGTAAGGTTACCCTGTCATGGCCTTTCCTGGGACCTGCAATTTAGTCATTAGATACACATTTTGGGGGAGTCTCAGGGGGTTTCTGTTTTTCAATATTCTTTATTTAAAAAATAAAGAAAAATTGTGGCAGGAATGAAAGTGGTATCAACCAGAGGTTAAAAATTGGTTGCTTAGTGGCCAAACAGTGGCCTTTAGTGGGAACCAATCTTCAAACAAATTATACCCGCTCTCCCATTCTAATATATTATTTTTCTTTAAGAGCTTCTCAGATTTTAATGTGCATGTGAATTAGTTGAGGATCTTGTTAAAGTGTAGATTCTGATTGAATATGTCCCTGGATAGGGCCAAAGATTCTGCATTTCTAATAAGCCCTTAGGGAAAGCTGAAGCTATTGAACCCTAGAGAAGACTTTTCTTCTTCCTTTCCTGCTTTGAGAACCACTCGTCTGGCTTGGGTACACTTTGGAACTGGGTTTGGGTGGTTGAATGGTGAGTGATCATGCTGCTGATGGAAGTGGAGTCCTTGTGGTGTTGTGAGGAAAAGCATTTTTGGGGACCCACAAACAAGTATGAGATCTGGTGGTACAATTTATTTGGTTACTTGATTCAAAGTCAAAAGAGTGCCTCTTCTGGGCTCCCAATGTCCCATTTCTATCCATCTCACCATGGAAAATTGGGGTCAGAAATAGACCAAGTATCCGAGATCCTGTGCATGCCAAGGCCAGTTCAATCCAGTCTTTTTCATTCTTTGGCTAGCTTAGCCTGTGTTCTGTCTGTGCTGCTGCATCCAGGCTCCCTCCTGGGGCCTGTGTTTAGAGTTTGCCTGGGCCACAGGGTTATGGAGAGAGAACATGTGAGCACACAGGGTGAGTGTAGAGAGAGAGAGAGCAAGCGAGCATGCTTCTTTGTTCCCCTGAGGTTATAACCAGAAGCTTTTTCAAAATAACAAATCAACTTCCCAAGCTTTTATGGGCTTATGATGGGTCCATACCCCCTAGTTTGACTGACAGGCCTTTATGGTCAAGCACTTCTCCCTGTGCCCACCAACAATCTGGTACTGGAGGGTGACAGTGCTGCTGAGATTTTCTGTGTTCTGAGGATTGTCTCCTTGGTGGCAGTCCCCTGGAGTGTGTGAATGAGTCTGTAAATGCTATAGCTTTCTGGCTAAGCAAGCAGGCTTATGCTCTCCAGTTTATTAAACTCAATAGCTAATTCCCTTTGCTCTCTTTCTTATTAATAACTAGAACTACCTATAGTAACAATCATAAAGTTAAGAGTTTCTTGCAGGCCTGCCAGGTATTAACAGTTGTTTCTTTCCAGGTGGGAACAGAAGGGCAGAAACCTCTGAATAAGTTCCCTTTTATTCCATAATTTAGATGTTATCATGGATACTGAGTTTTGATAATTGTGTATATGTTTAAGGGAAACTGACCAATAGGAAATAGGTTAGAAGAACATGAGCAGATTCATGCATCATGTCCTGCCTTAATTAAATAGACTGTGGATTAAAAAATTGCACTTGGTTTGAATTTCATAGTACAGTTGACCTTTGAACAATGTCAGAAATCTGCGTAAAACTTTGACTTCCCAAAACCTTAACTACTGTTGACTGGAAGCCTTACTGACAGCATAAACAGTAGATTAACACTGATTTTATGTTATATATATTATATATTATATTCTTACAGTCAATAAGCTTGAGAAAAGAAACTGTTATTAACAAAATCATAAGGAAGAGAAAATACACTTACAGTATTTATTGAATAAACTCTGCATATATGTGGGGCAATGTAGTTTAAACCCATGTTATGTAAGTGTCAACTATAAATGTATTCCCCACTTTTGACACTTTCATATATTTAAACTTGTTATTGAAAGTAGAGTCTTGCCTTGAGCCAAATAAATGGTAGTCTCTCTTTTTTAAAAAAAGATTTTATTTATTTATTTTTAGAGAGGGGAAAGGGAGAGAGGAGAAAGAGAGGAAACATCTGTGAGAGAAACATTGGTTGCCTCTCTCATGCACTCAACTGGGGATTTTGCCAGCAACCCAGGCACGTGCCCAGACTGGGAATTGAACCTTTTGGTTCTATGACCTTTTGATTCACAGGCCAGTGCTCAGTCCTCTGAGCCACACCAGCCAGGGTGGTAGTCTATTTTAATGGAACTTTGAATGCAGCCCAAATTTATGAAGCTGTTAATTGTTCTTTGCATTTGGATTTTACTGTAACTCAAGGCATACCTGATAGCTTAAACAAAAAGTTAATCTCTTATTGAGTTACCATCTTTCAAGATCCTGTCTCTGTCCCTTTCTTCCAGCTTTATTGGGTCTTTCCTTTTGTCTTTACAGATAGATTTTCAGAGATCCTAGGTACTTTCTTTTTGTCTGTTGATTCTTTATATGAATGTTATCTTTAATTTTTTAATTCAGGCAGTGAATAATAATTCAGGCTATAAATAGAGAAATGATTGGTCTTTTATCAGATGAGATGAAAGAGTTAAAATGGGAGTTAACAATTCAGGGAATTCCTATGGAAAAGAGGTGAAAAAAACCAAAGCATTTTTCCTCGCATATAGAGAGAGACCCTTGCATGCACACAAATGTCCATATTTGAATATTTATAGAAGGTAATCTGTCAAAATTACTGTTATTTTAATTTACTAAGTTTGGCTGATTACTGCAGTTGTATGATAGTTGAATTCTAGATGAGGAACTGTAAATATGATCTGGTGTGGGACATGCGTTTTGTCCTTGAATATCCAAACAAACCTTAAAGCTGTTTGGATATCCTTGTCCTCTCCCCTGTCCTGCTGCACCCTCTCTTTTTCTGAACTTTAATATTCTTTTTTAGGGAAAAAAATTTTTTAAAGATTTTATTTATTTATTTTTAGAGAGACGGTAAGGGAGAGAGGAAGAGAGGGAGAAAAACATCAATGTGTGGTTGCCTCTTATGTACCCCCTACTGGGGACCTGGCCCACAACCCAGGCATGGGTTTCCCTGACTGGTATTCAAACTGGCAACCCTTTGGTTTGCAGGCCCATGCTCAATCCACTTAGCTACACCAGCCAAGACTTTTTAGGGAAAACAATTTTAAGGGAGGTTATAATGGTACATAATATGGAAAATTTTTTAAAAAATTTAAAAACACCCCTGTAGACACTGAGTGATCAAGAATTTTTAAATGATTTAATTATTTGTCCAGTTTGTTTCAAAAGAGCTATCCCTGGAGAACTTAAACCTAGAGACAAGTATCTCATTTGAATGGTCTTACAAGGTTTTATATGAGATATGTCAACAAAGAAAATGTATAATTATTGATAAGTAATGTTACCCCTTTCTTTTGTCTCATTTGAACAGTTGATAATATCAGTGACCCAGATTCAAGCAATACTATGTTTCTCTGGAAATATGTGGTTTCGTCAGTTTCATATGTTCTAGGGGAATGAAGGTAAGCCATTTTTCACAGTTAATACTGAAATAACTTTGTTAATAAATCAAAATTTTCTCTTTTTAAAAATTAGGAAACTCTTTTTTCTTTGGATCCAGAAAACACTATATTATTTATTGATGGTGATGACTTTTTTTGGAGCAGGTCTACATTCTGTGCTTTATGCTTACTCTTGTCTTTTTTACATAGCCATTCTTACCTGAATAGTTTATTTTTACATATGTAATCACCCAATGTGACTAACTCTTAATTTTTTTATTTTTTGCTTTTGATGTTTTCATTTATCTCTTGTGAACTGACAAATAGGATTAATTTTGTTGGTTATTACTTTAGCTAGAAATTATTTCAAATACTAAATTTCAGTTTTAATACTTACATATTGACTTTGTTTTGGGGTTTCAGTAATATATTTTATATTTAGCAGATTAAGTATGGAATTTTTTAAAGCATTCTTTTCTATATTTCACAAGCATCCATCATTATTCTCATTTGACAACTGTTTTTGGGGGCTGATTAATCTTTTTTCTAGGAGTTTTTATATATTTCACTTGTTACTAAGGTCACATTTCCCAATTCTTTTTGTTACCATTCCCAAATCATCTCCCATGTACAAGTATCTCACTCTAATTCCTCATTATATATATAGGAAAATTATTCAAGTCTGTAGTTATGAATGAAGAACAAGATTATTAATAATTCCTTAGGATGTTACCCTAGCTCCTAATTTTGTAATGGTATACCATCTATTCACTGCATAAAGGGCTCAGAAATGTCTTTTGGACCCAATGCATTGCAAATGTGGAAATAATAAAATAAAATTTACATATGTGTAAAGTGAAGTAATACTAATATGTTCCCTTGGGTTTGGCCATTCTTTCATTTTTTGCTATGTTTGGAGGCTTTTTTTGCAACATAACTTGAAATTCCTTCAGGTGAATTAGATATGTTCATCTTATTTAAGCAGCATGCTTTTGGTTAATATGATAAAACCCAGTTGAGTAAAATTTAAGTTAGTAATATAAAAAAGTAATGAGCTGTTTTACAGTGTGATATTGAAAAATTTTTAACTATTTCTTTCTATAAGAACAGACAGCACTCTATAGTGGATAAAGATGTCCTAAGGAAATTAAGTTTGATACAGGTTAATTCCATGATTATAGCAAATGTTGGGAATTTGCCACCCAAATATCAAATTTCATGTACAGGTTTTTGTTTTCTATTAATTTTTTTTCTCCAGAGAAAGAATCTTTAAATTAGTTTAGATGGGATTATAATGGTATTTTAGGAATTAAGAAACAGGCTTTATTTTTCTACAAAAATTAATTGAGCACTAAGGGTAACCAGTGAATTGTAGTATCCCTGATTGATTTTTTTTAAGTCCTTAATGGAAATTCAATATTTAGGTGTTTATTTAGGAAATATATTAGTTTGTAATAATGATTTCTACAATATTTGATTGTCCACATGTTTTAATTGCTTCAGAAAGGATGAAGTATATTATTTAATAACTTGAATTTTAGCATTACATAGAGACTAAACACTATGATTAATCATATTTTAGGCAATTTGTATGCCATCGAGACAAATTCAGATTTGCATTTTTTTCATCTTAATACTATGAGGTTATTATCACTTTATCAATTAGTGAAGATTGAAAATGGAGATTTTCTTTTGTGGTTTTCAGTTTACCATGTAAGGAGCTTTTAGAAATTATCACTTTGTTCTAGTAAGTAGAAAACTGAACAAATTGAAAAATCAACAAACTTTTTTAGGTATGTCAGAGAAGTAAGGTCACAAAGCAAACTGCTCCCTCCCCAGCTCACACACACAAATTGGAGAGACAGGTGAATACAGAGAATGACAGCTTACCCTAGCAGAAACCCAGGAGTGGGAACCTCGAAGGGACACAGTACTAGGTAGGAGAATCTAAAGTGTAATTAGTTAAAAACTCTAGGGTACCCAGTAATAGGGGACTGCCACACTTTCATGGTTTTACCTCCATGTCTTCACAGTGAGTATCAGAGAAAAATCCCCAAGTGATTTCTGTAGGGGAGGGGGAAAGTAACCATTTGGAAATATGCCAAGGCATTCTGTTTTTCTTAAGCTGTACCATCAGAAGTTCCCCTTAAGATTGGGAACAAGACAGGGATGCCCACTTTCACCAATCTTATTCAACATAGTACTGGAAGTTCGAGCCATAACAATCAGACAAGAAGAAGAAATAAAAGGCATCCAAATTGGAAAGGAAAAAGTGAAACTGACATTTGCAGATGACATGATACTGTGTATAGAGAACCCTAAAGATTCCACCAAAAAACTACTAGAACTGGTAAATGAGTTCAGTAAAGTAGAAGGATACAATATAAATATCCAGAAATCAGTTGCATTTTTATATGCAAGTAGTGACCTATCAGAAAGGAAAACTAAGAAAACAATCCCATTCACAATTGCTTCAAAAAGAATAAAATATCTAGGAATAAATTTAACCAAGAGTGTAAAAGACCTGTACTCATAAAATTATAAGACACTGAAGAAAGAAATTGAGGAAGATACAAATCAGTGGGAGCATGTACTGTGTTCATGGATAGGAAGAATTAACGTCATTAAAATGTTTATACTACCTAAGGCAATCTACAGATTCAATGCAATTCCTATCAAGATACCAGTGACATCTTTCACAGAACTAGAACAAATATTCCAAAATTTATATGGAACTATAAAAGACTCCAAATAGCAACAGCAATCTGGAGAAAGAAGATTAAAGTTGGAGGAATCGGGCTACCTGATATCAAACTATACCACAAGGATATAGTAATGAAAACAGCATGGTACTGGCATAAAAACAGACACAGAGATCAATGGAACAGATTAGAGAACCCAGAAATAAACCCACGGCTATATAGTCAATTAACATTTGACAAAGGAGACAAAAATATGCAATGGGCTCAAGATGGATCGTTCAATAAATGATGTTGGGAAAATTGGATAGATAACATGCAAAAGAAAAGAAACTAGACTACCTTACATCATGTAAGAATAAACACAAATGGATTAAAGACTTAAATGTGAGACTGAATACCATAAAATCCTAGCAGAAAACATAGGGAGTAAAATCTTGAACATTTCTTATAGCAATATTTTTTCTGATATAACTCCTTCGGTAAGGGAAATAAAAGGAAAAATAAAAAAATGGGACTACATCAAACCAAGAAGTTTTTGCACAGCAAAGGAAACCATTAACAAAATGAAAAGACAGTCCATTGAATGGAAGAACATATTTGCCAATGATATATCTGATAAGGGGTTACCATCCAAAATTTTTAAAGAACCTGTAAAACTCAATACCAAAAAAATAATTCCATTAAAAATGGGCAAAGGACCTGAATAGATGTGTCCCCAAAGAGGACATACAGATGGTCAATAGACATGAAAATCAATGAGGAAAATGACTAAGGGGAAAAAAACCCCCAGAAGATAACATACTCAAGGGCTATGAGACAACTACCGAAAGTATAATATGCACATAATCAGAATACCAGAAAAAGAATTAAAGAAACAGAGGAGATATCTGAAGCAATAATAACTGAGAATTTCCCCAAATTAATGTCAGATTTCAAGTCACAGATCCAGTAATTTCAGAAAACACCAAGGACAGTATGTACCCCCAAAAACTTCAATTAGGCGTAATCATATTCCTGGCCAGCATGGCTCAATGGATTGAGTGCTGGCCTGCACACCAAAGGGTCGCCTGTTGATTACCAGTTAAGGCACATGCCTGGGTTGAGGGCCAGGCCCCCCCAACCATAGGGGGTACACGAGGGGCAACCACAAATTGATGTTTCTCTCCCTCTCACTACATTCCCTTCTCAATGAATGAATGAATAAATAAATAAATAAAATCTTTTAAAAGTTCTCAAAGTACAGAAAATCAAACACAAAGATAATCTTGAAAGAAGACAAAGGCAGATGAAACCACCTTAACTATAGAGAAGCAAAAGTAAGAATAACATCTGACCTCAGAAACCATGCAAACAGGAACAGTTAAGTGTTTTGTGTTTAAACTTTGAGACAAAACTTCCAACCGTCTAGCATTCTGTATCCTACAAAATTATTCTTCAGAAGTGAATGAGAATAAAGAATTATGTTACCAGTCTAAAACTTGCAGTGCCCACAGTTTTAAAAAGGCAGTATTCAAAATATTAAAGTAAGGAAAAGTTTATTGATTGAGAGGCACCAGCTCAAGAAGTTGGAGGTGCTTGCAAATTCTGAAATCTGTTTTAGGCAAGCACAAAGTTCAGGTTTCTTTTAAATCAAAGGAAGGAAAAATGGAAGGGGCTGTTTTGTAAAAACTTAAGCCTGAACAGAATTCCTCTGTACTTAGCATGTCCAAAGCAGGAGCTATTAGCCTGAATGCTATGAGAGCAAAGAAAGCCCAAACAAGACTCGGTCAGAGAGACTGAATTCTCTGATACACTTAGGTAAACAAAATTTCAGAGAATTTGTGGGCAGTGGTTCTGCTTTGCACGATATGTTAAAGGACATTTTTCAGAAAAGGAAAATTGTATAGGCCAGAAACTTGGATCTATGTTATAGAAAGGAACAATACTAGAGAAAGAAAAAGGGAGAAAAACATGGATGTGAGAGAGAAACATTGATGTTTCCTTTTGTATGTGCCCTTACTAGGGACTGAACCTCCATCCTAGGTATGTTCCCAGATCAGGATTTGAACCCATGACCCCCTTTTGATCCTAGGGGATGTCGCTCCAGTCAACTGAACCACACCAGCCAGGGTTATTTTTCTTATTCCTAATTGATCTAACAGATAACATTATGTGTTCATAATAACAACAATATATTCAGTGATTATCACATATTGAAGTGAATTTTGGCAATGATGCAAGAGTTGGGAGCGAAGAGTTAGGAATATTCTATTGTGAGATACTTGCATTACCCATGAAGTGATATGGTGTTATTTGAAAGTGGAATTGGATTAATTGTAA